GGTAAACGTTATTCAGTACGTTTTCAAATCCGTGAAACAGACATGAAATATTGGTAGAAAATTTACCTTAATCCTACGCACAGTTTATTGAGAACATCAATTAGACAGAAGAATATCTAAGAAAGACAGAAAAAGTTAAGGTTATAATTGTTGCAACTAGGGCAGCAATATATTTTGTTTTTTTGTTTTTTTAAGAACCCTTACAATTTGTAAAACTGTATAAATGAATATATGAACAAAACCAAAAACCAAAAACCTTAAGTCGCCATGTTGTTCCCAAGAAAAAGGTCGATTCTGCAGGAGTATACAAATTAGTCCCCTCATTCGGTCATGAAGTGTAATAAAGTAGTTTCTCTTATTTCGAAGTGTGTAAGTTACAGCTGTCCAGGGTAAGAAAGGGGTGTAGGACTAATAGAATCTTTCACCCCCTTGGGGGTGAGATAGGAGAATCTCAACCCGAGGGGGAAGATTCTTAAGTTGCCAAACACGAGGCTTTGCCGAGTGTTGGCAACTTAAGAGTCTTTCCCCGAGGGTTGAGATTCCCCTATCTCACCCACAAGGGGGTGAATGATTCGTTTCTCTTACCCTGTTCTACCATTGTGTATCATATACACAATGTAAAGATAACGTTACATGCTAAATTCAGGGTTGACATGACGTTGATGGATTGTTGACGTGTCGTCATTGTATTGTTGAAGTGACGGCATGATATTGTTATGAAAAGGGGAATCCCCCCGTCTCAACCCTAGGGTGAGACAAGGAAATCTCACACCGGTAAAAGTGCGGATACATCTGTCCAGGGTAAGAGAAATTTCTATACTACACCCATTTCAAGTGACGTGACGTCACAATGGCTCAACAATGACGTGACGTCACGAACTTGGAAAAAAACTCCGATGCCGCAATGCTGAGAAGGCGTCGTGATAAAATTAAAACCTACTGCGATATATTTACCGTACACGTTAGAAATATGAGATTTATTTTTCTGCGCAAATTTGTTTGCAAATATGGGGTATGCTTAATCTCGCTGATGGATTCGTTTTCGTCTAAAAAGCTAAGGGGTAAAGTTGACATTTTCAAAATGGTAGCCAGTCCAAAAGCATTTGCATGGTTTCTGAGCTTATTCTGGTAGTTGGAACGATAGAAAAATCTTTTTTCATGCCCAAGGGTGAAGGATAGGGAAATTCCACTCTCGCGATTTTCAAATGTGGCAAACCCTCGGCAAAGCCTCGGGTTTTACCAAATTTAAAACCCCTCGGCTCTTATATTCTTAATTAGATAACATAAACTTTGTATATAAACATCAATTATAAAACAAGTTATTTAATCTAGATTAATCACACTTGTTGACCAGGATGTTAGCGTGCGAAGGGTCTTAATGTGGAAGGACATCGGCGTACTCGGTGAAAGCACACGTGGTCGGGCAGGTTACCCTTACCTTTTCAAGTTCAATCGGGGAATGGAACCCCGGCCGCCTTGATGAACGGCGAGTGCGCTATCCTCTTTGCCACCATACCACATTTGAAGTTTCTTCATCATGTAGGACTTATTTTCTATGAAACTGTTGTTGTTGATATAGCCTTATGTTTAGATTCTGTTTTTACCTTTTCTGTAATGTTTACCTACATTCAAACTGACTTGACTGGTGTGATCCTTAATATGAACGCACATCGACATAGAGACCGTCACATATCTATAAAGATAATCAAGTGCATGGTATATTTTGAGCGCCATCTAGTGTTGATTGGGATAAATTGTTATACAAGGAAAGCTGCTCTGCCCTCGACAGTGGTATATGTAGCATGCATTGGAACGGATATCAGCGTTAAATATTGTATTTTATTTGTTCATTTACATCGCCACCTGGTGTCATATTTGGTTAATGTATCGTACGTAGTGATCGCCATCTAGTGTCGACTCTTGTAAATAATGAAAATGTGTACGGTTCCGCAACCTTGTGTGGGCTCTGCTGTAAATAATATGCATGGTATCGCTACCTACTATCAGTAGTGTCACACACAATTTATCGCCGCCTTGTGTCGAATTTCCTTAACACAATATAGATAGTACCGCCACCTGGTGTCAACTGTGGTAACTAGATTTACTCGTTTGGCCTACAGCGACAGACTTCGCTCATACGTGTAACAGGTAAACGACCTGAGTCGTTTCCAAACAATTCAATTGCCCCATAGTGTGCTCTACCGTCCCTATCATCTTTCCAGTAAATAAAACAGATTAGCTATTTTTTCTGATACCGCTACTTCCCACATAACCTGTTATTGTCACACAATGTTGTAAGGTGCGTGTATTTTTATCTGATTATGCCGCGCATCACAATTCCATTAGGCGCTGTGTTTGCACGGCTGTCCCCACGGGTTGTTGTCAACACACCCGCCCCGGGCAATATCGCCTAACTGTCTGTCTCCTAGTCAGGTTGAGGATAGCAAAATACATTACAAATTGTTCCGGATCTCAATTTCAGTTTTGTACGACGAAAGTACAAAACATATATATGGTGGTGTTGACAATTCCCTCTTACACTAGTCGTGAAGGATGGTTTGTTCACGTGGCGCCAACACGTAAACCGCACAAGTTTCCAGTCTGCACGCACAAACAGAAACCTGACGCATTTCACCATAGAACACGGTACAGGTAATAAAAGAAGGCAAAATCTCAGCAATTTCAAAGACATTTTATAGCCAGCAGCATAACATTTTGCTGTTCGTTGTCTGGAAAATTCTCAGTCTGAGACAAACAATTACAAGGCAACAGGGACACCACAATAACGACACAGGGAAAGTTCCATTGAAAGTCAAGTCCAAATTGTAGGCAAAAAACAGTACCTATTTTGCTCTGCTAACAAAAAGATGTACAAAACAAAACCGTGCACATCATTTCTGGAGTAACATGAAAAATTGTTAAGAAGTGGTACTATTATACTTATGTCAAAGCTTGCTTTTCTCCAGTACGCGTAACTCATGCCAACAATGCAATACTTACATAACTGCCACACATCAGATCAACCTGCAAATCTACATTGTATTACACACTGATAGCGATGCTATATAAATTACTTATCACTGTCCCGTTCGTTTATGCGTTGAGGTTTCACCGCATAGCAACGCCGCCATCTCTAGATATTTATTCACCTAACGAAGAGATTTTGTCATGGATAAAGTATCAAGAATTTCTCTATTGGTAGAAAATTATTCTGATACGGTCGATCACGCTGGTTATCATGCCGGTAGTTTAAGCTTACTGTTTTTTGTGCTGTCTTAAACAACATCAGCCAGGTCGTTGACTGGGGCGTGCTGATTGTTTAGCCGTCAGCATTACCTCGCCTGCATACCCAATTTTGTAGATATTCCGGACCGTTGCATTATGCCATCCTTTCACAAGGCTTAGCCGACACCGACGAACACAAACGAAATTACCCCCAAAGGTAAAATTGTTCTTTTAAATTCGTCAATTAAAAGATACAACAAAAGAAGGGAACTCCTTCGAGAGTAAGTTCTAGCAAATACCAAAATGCCGTTAAACAGCAATGTCTACCCTTCTCAGGTGGGAAGAGCTTAAGGCAAAATGACATTTAGTTTCAAATTATTGCCTTGACACATTTTGGTAGTCTTTTAGGATGGGCTGCAAGTTTGTTTTCATATCATATCGAGAGCACGTTACTAAGAACGTTCACACCATATGTGGGCTGAGAGAGATAGTATGGCCGCCATTGGTTTATTTCTGTCTTTAATGAGACAAGACTCGCCTATGTAAGAACCATGACCGACACATATATTTCCTTCCGTATCTCAGACTTGATATACATAAAATGTAATTAACTGCATTTAATTGATAAATAATCGAAATAACATTTTCGGAATATTTTCGTAGCATTTTGAAATCATATCGATCAGACGAACGCCAATTTTAACACGAAATTGTGTTATATGAAGTCGGTGCAGTGTAGCTATTTAACGATAGTCTCTAAATGTCAGGTGGGGTCTGTCACAACGACAGTCATTAGGTACCACTCTCGGCTCTCTAACCTTTACATTCTCGTTGTTTCATTATCCCTAAACAAGGTTAGGCTATGACCATTGCAGACAACGTAGAGGAAATATGTCCATTTGATTACATATCTGTACTTTCCTTTCCTTTTCTCTTAGCCCCATTATGTATATGGCCTCGAATCGAAGTCTTGGAGAAATTGTATGTCGTTCGTACAAGCATTCAGCGTAATTTAGAAAGCACATCACGAAACCAGCGCAGTTATTGCGCCAAATTCTACCACGTCGGCGATGAAACGACCTTTTTTATTGGTCCACCGTTAACGCTTGTGCCCCAATAGTGCTGCCACGAGCCTTAATAATGCATTGCACACGTAACGCTGTTCTAAACTTCGTTCCCAAATATTAAGTCATGCAACTTTATAAGTCGGGCTAAGACAACTCCAAGCAGAGTTGAAAATATAATTTTGTAAACAAAATAATTACGAAAATAATTAACTGAAGTTTACATAATTTTTTTGTCCAGCATTTTTTTCAAATGCGTTAAATATTTGATCATATTATCATATGTTGATTATTTCTTTAGCATGAAATGACACTATCTCATTGTACAAAGCAGAAGAGAAAATATGTCGGTTTATCATGCCATACAAATCAAATATCACGTTTTTTAAATTTGTGAAAAATAATTAAATTTTGTACTTATTACTGTTTAGAAGTACAAAGACGAGAAAGTTACTACATCAAAAAAGTGCGGGATTTGAAAAGTGTAATCATTGACGTAATATTTTAATTTTGAATTGGTCACACAGCCGACCGTTTCTTGTTTATTTCTATCGATTATGTATAAAACACATTGGTGTGTGTCAAAAGACATACAAAAGCAACCAATTATTCTAATATCGCTTACGTTTTAATCGAATATCTAATCTTGTTGATGATTTTATATATTGCATTGGTAAAAAAATAATAAACTTATTTTCTTTATATTTTCAGTTGGCATCATCGGATCAGTACATGCCGACTCTAAGGTGTTTATGTCCAAAGAGAAACAACTTATCAAAAAGTTGTTAGACCGGTATGAGCGGTATGGCCGAATCGGAAGACCGGTGGTCAACACGAGCGACAGCATATTAGTTCACTTTGGTATCTCCCTCATCCAGATTCTCAATGTAGACGAGAAGAACCAGGTCCTGGAAACTAACGTCTGGTTCACTTACGTAAGTAATCATGTTTTCATCACGTGTAGTTCCTTGTACACATACGTGGGTAACGTGGTAAACCTCTAGTGGTTATAATTTGGTACACATATGTGTTAAGTAGAAAACAACACGATTAAAACGTGTTACAACTACATTTTCAGTCATACATCTGTACACCTGATAACTTGATGCGTAGATGTGTTGCAATCACGTGTAACGTTCGGTATATCGGAAAGTCACGAGGTTTTGGCTTGTTACGTTAGGTTCACGATGTAGAAAGTCTCGAGAGCACCAAGTGACAAATACATGTGTTTTGGGTGACCACGTGTTGTAGTCTCGTGGTAAGGTAGGGTACACCTACGTATGCTTTTGATAGTCACGTAGTCACCACGTGCCATGTATAGTCCACCTACACAAGCTGTAATCTCGTGGTTACTACATGTATGTGTTGCAGGGTACACCTACGTATGGTTTTGTTTGTCACTTTTCGACTACGTGCTATGTCTTGCCCACCTTCGTTCGCTTTAGTATTATGGCTTTCAATTGTAAGCTGATTAGGATGGTGCACCAGCATTTGTTTGTAATTGTCACGTGGTCACCACGTGCTACGTCTGGTCCACCATCGTATTATTTAGTCTTATGGCTACCAATTGTTATCTGGTTAGGTAGGGTTCACCTACGTATGTTTTTAATTGTCACGTGGTCACCACGTGCTATATCTGGTCCACGGTCGTAAGGTTTAGTCTTGCAGACACAAGCTGTCACTCAAGTACACCTTATGTTGAGTATTACAACCTACACCGACGTATATAATCCAATGTTAGCACTTTATGAGTTTACAAATACAAGTAATACATAATCAATGATATGGTCATTGCTCTCAACACCTTTATGAATTATTACTTCCACGCGAAAGAGGACTAATTGTCGTATATGGATATGAATCGCACCTGCACAGTTTGATTGTATCTTTCATTAATTTATAAAAGTTCATCAGGAATAAAATTTGGGTAGATGCGTTTACAATTATTGTTGTTTTAGACGTCGGGGAAATTCTCATTCCCTTTTTGAAGCGTGGCGTCATTTTAATCATCAATTATTAAGGAATTGCCACTCGTAAACAGAGATGAGACGATCTGAATCTGCATATATGGACAACATGTGGTATTATTCAATAGATCAAAGTATACGAACATTGGCAGGAACATTACAATGTGTAAAGAATATACGTGTTCATTTCATGCATGACGGAAATATTTATTTCTGATCAATATCGTTTTATCCACAATTTCATGGTATTTTCTGATACAATGTCTGCAGTTATACATGTATACAATTTATCATGTGCAAAATGTAGGAATATAGTCAACTTTGAGGTTTCCAAAAACGGTGTGATAGTTTACATAGTCTTATACTTCATTGTCATGGACGATTCATTGATTTGTCAGGGGAAATCATAATGGAAGTCGCACGTGGCGCTGGAGGAGTTAACCAACTGAAGTAACTTTGTCTGCCTCCGTTCTTGTTGAAACTGCGAGTTTTATCAGATAAAAGATCAATTTTAGAAGTCTTTAACTTTTCTCGTTAACACAGCAAAAGTTGATGAGACAACACCTTGGTCTCATACCTTCACATCTTTCTGTATAAATTTGATTGAAATGTAAGCTCATCTTTATAACCAAGCTTGCAAATTTAATAATAAATGCAAGGAGTATTATCGAAAATGAATTAAAAGCATGAGTTTTGCAACTGTTGGCCAAGATTCGGAACTATATACAGGGTCAAAACGTATACTGTATTAACATGTTGCAAAAGAAACGCCTCTTATCCCTGTTTAAGGCAGCGTCTTTATTTTCCTAAAACAAGTTACATTTAAGAGATAACAACACAACACCAAGATTGCACTTTTAAGCAACAGAAAAGATCCTTGAGATATCGATACTATCAGCAAAGTTTCTTCGATTTCGCTGAATGAGAGAAAGCATAATCCAGAATGACCGGCGGGCAGTGATAAGTGGTCTCTTAAAAAGCCTGACATTACATTAAATAACATTTGACAGTTAAATATCATTGATGATATGTGAGGATAAGTTTCTTTTGGCAATGATTTGAGTCACGTTTTCTCGGTGTATGGATTTTCGGTATCATTTTCTTTTGGATTGCTTTTTGGTTATATCCAAACAGTACATTATTATATTTTATGTCGGTTTGATTTAAACATATGTATTGCCCCAAATTTGAGCAGGGATTATGCACAAGTTATATCGACTTATCTACGCCTTTCCCTCTAATACAGTGCATATTGATATTTACATGATAGCATTTAACAAGGCATACATGCAATGTTTCACAATGATTACATTCTACTTAAAACCTGTTTCTGGAATTGATGAAAAGTTGCACGTGTCTGAATACCTCTGTATTGGTATCTACGGACAGGTTTTCATTCCCAAATGAAAATAAGCCTAAATTTACTGGATATATATTCAACGAGTTTATGTTTTGAAAAAATACACATTCTAAGAAAAAAATGACCATCATCCTCACAGGAATGTCCACAAGCGCGTGATGGATTATCAACAATCTTAATACGGAACAAATCATTTTCCAAAGAGCTGCACTGATGCCTGAGTTTCGTATGTAATATATTTAAATTGTGTTCGTCAAAGTTATAATAAGATGGTGGAGACGAATTTGCACCACTAGATATAGCAGTTTTAAAAGTATTTAAAGATGGTCATGTTATTGTTATGTTGTCTAACGATTTTCAAAGACGTAAACTCGATGGCAGAAAAGAAGAGTTGCTTGAGGAGAGTCTGAAAGAAGGAATATTGTAATCATATTGGTTCCGTGAATTGAACCGATTGTTGTTATATGTGTTTGGCAAAAGGGCCGATAAATAGCTGGGGGTTAAATTGTTTTACATCTTATATAAAATATTCAATTTTCGCCTTTTTCTCCTCTCTGATAATGTTTCTAAACCCATTTCAAAATATAACGAGTCATTAATTGTACATTGTATAAGAAGGCTGTCTTGTTTTAACTCGAGCCGCCTCTCTTTGAGCTTTTTCTAAATTATCGGGGTAAAAAGCAGTGCAACCATTTCATAATTCACAGGAATATTCAAAAGCTGGTTAAATGAAAGATTTATATATTTTTAAAAGTGATTTTCTTTTCAACAAGTATTTAAGTTTTCGTAAAACATTAATATTTTTCATAACCAACCTATAAACTGCCTCAACACGATTCCCCAATTTTCCATTTGAATTGAAATTTATTCCTTAATATCTATGTACGTCTGTAAAAAAAAATCCCATCAAACATCAAATCCAAGTCATCGTCAATATCATGTGCATTCGACATAAAAAGAACGTCCATATTTTTAGGATTAGAAGAAACCAACCAACGTTTAACCCACAGATTTAAAGATTCTAGGTCCTTGTTGAGAACAGTCTGTATTTCATAGCATGGAAAAGCAGAATAATCTGCAAATAATATGGAGGCTGAATTAAGTACACTAGTAATATCATTAATATATATCAAAAAGAGAAGCGGCCCGAGTATTGACCCTTGAGGTACACCTGCGTATATATCACCTAGTTTTGAAAATGAATTTCCAATTAAAACTTTCTGTTTGCGCTGGTGTAGATACTTTACGAGCCAATGCAATAATTCCCCTGAAATTCCGTATGCTTCTAACTTTGCTATCAAACCCCTGTGTCAAACACGATCAAACGCTTTCGATATATCACAAAACATAATGCAAGTATGTTTTCTTTCTTCTAAAGCAATACAAATATTATGGTCAATTTCAATAAGTTGATTAACAGGAGAATGACAAGGAATAAAACCTGACTGGTATCGATGCAAGTATGTTTTCTTTCTTCTAAAGCAATTCAAATAGTATGGTCAATTTCAATAAGTTGATAAACAGGAGAATGACAAGGCATAAAACCTGACTGGTATCGATAAAACAAGCGATTTTCATAAAAACAATTATACACGTGTTTGTAAACTACACGCTCAAACACTTTACCAATTGTAGATAGTAGGGTTATAGGTCTATAGTTACACGGCGTATTACCATCACCCTTTTTGAAAAGCGGCATAACGGTTGCAAGTTTCCATTTATTTGGATACACACACGAAGAAAGAGACATGTTAAAAAGTATTTCGAGTGGTTTGCAGATCGAGTTAGTAGTATTCTTTAGCACATGATGACTAATCCCATCCCCTCCCGAAGCTTTCCCTAGCTTTAAAACATCTTTAATTTCTGAATGATTTAACCGCAAAGATACAAAACGTTTATCTGCTTTGGATTCAAACATCGGAACTGGAATATCAACATCATAAACACGGGTTATACTACAAAAATAATTATTAAGTAAGTGTCGTCATCGTTAGAAAAAGTACTATTTGTCGCTGGATCCTTCATTGAAGGAATGTTATGATAATGTCCACCTAGTTTTCCTAGTTTCTAATATGATTTTGGATCAGAAAAAGCGTAATCGTCAATAAGTCCGTGTACATTTTAAAAAAGGAGTGTTGCCCTGGCAATTTTCTGCAGACGATCACGGATTCTCAAATGTTTTCTAAGTTCAGATGTCATCTAGGGCTTGTCGTTAGATCGAACTGTAACTATTTTTGAGGGTATACATCTATTTATAAATTCGAAACAAATGGCAGTAAAATTGTCACACGCAGTATCAACCGAGTCACTCACAGAAAACAAAACATTCCAGTCATATTCGTTTATAAGTTCATTTAGCATGTCAAAGTCGGCTCGTTTGTATAACCACACTTTCCGTTTGTAAAGAGGTTTGGTAAAATAGGTAAATTCAATAACGACAATACAACCTTCATGATCACTTACTGCTCTATCAATTGGTAAACTGCTACAAGTAAGTGAATCTGATAGTAAAATGGGGTCAAATAAACTAGATCTAGCTGGACTAATTCTTGTAGGTTCATTTATAAAATAAATAAGGACATGGTTATTGGAAACAGTTAGTAAATCA